ATTTTTTGTATTTTTAGTAGAGATGGGGTTTCACCATGTTGACCAGGATGGTCTCAATCTCTTGACCTCGTGATCCACCCGCCTTGGCCTCCCAAAGTGCTGGGACTACAGGCTTTAGCCACCGCGCCCGGCCCTTTTATTTTTATTTCTGATACAGAGTCTTTCTCTGTCACCTAAGCTTGAGTGCAGTGGCACAATTTAGGCTCACTGCAACCTCTGCCTCCCAGGTTCAAGTGATTCTTGTGCCTCAGCCTCGCAAGTAGCTGGGATTACAGGCATACACCAACATGCCCGGCTAATTTTTGTATTTTTAGTAGAGATGGCGTTCCACCACGTAGGCCAGGCTGGTCTTGAACTCCTGACCTCAGATGATCTTCCCACCGCAGCCTCCCAAAGTGCTGGGATTATACGCATGAGCCACGCACGTAGTCTATTGGTTTATTTTATGACCCAAAAGTAATATACTTACTATAAGAAATTTGGAAAATACAGAAAATATGAAAAAGGAAATAAAAATCACTTTCCTTGAGGGAAAAACTCCTATTAACATTTTGGAGTATATCCTGGCCATATTTTTTCTATGAACATATGTATATTTTTTTGAAATCTCAGAGGCATATATTAAATAAAAATTGTACTTTAAGAGTTACTATACTGAAGTTAATACTAAACCAAAAGTATGTTAAGACCACCTGAATTTTTCAATTTGATAAATGCACTTCGCTACCATTTTTGGGGGCTTTTCTTGGTGTTATTTCTTTATTAGTTAAGCATAAAAAAAGTATGTTTACATTTCAGACATATAACACATTAAGATGCCCTCTATAAACATAACACTTTCCCAATATATTTTACTTCTTTGTTTTAAAGACAATTACTTAATAATAAATAAACTTAGATAACAGTCTAAATATCGTAAATGCAACTGTTAACATTCACTTTGTTATACTGGAAGAGAAAATTTAAAGCAGTTATAGTAAACTGTTTGCTACATCATAGCCTAAAACTAGACAAAATTTGCTCTGTATTAATTGAGCTTGACAAACATTATTTTGTGATTCTATAAATACTGATATATTTTTACTCTATTATAAATAAATTGACATTAGCATCACAAATTACTATTTTCTCCCAGTCAGCCTATGAAATATGAACTTCCCATGGTAGTTGATAAAAAATACTGTGTGTTAAAAAATCACATGGTCAAGACTAGAATTTGAAGACAATAGCAGAGGAAGTTGATATTTAAAATCACCAAGCCGGCTGGGTGCAGTGGCTCACGCTTGTAATCCCAGCACTTTGGGAGGCCGTAGGTGGGCAGATCACCTGAGGTCAGGAGTTCAAGACCAGCCTGACCAACATGGAGAAACCCCATCTCTATTAAAAATATAAAAAATTTTCATATTTTGTTTTCATAATATTAATATAGATTTACTCTAATTTCATTATGATTATACAAGCATTCACTATTTAGTAGCTTTTTGTTTTTGAGACTGACTGTCGGTCATCCAGACTGGAGTGCAGTGGCGTGGTCTCAGCTCACTGCAACCTGTGCCTCCTGAGTTCAAGGGATTCTTGTGCCTCAGCCTCCCGAGTAGCTAGGATTACAGGTATGTGCCACCACATCCAGCTAATTTTTGTATTTTTAATAGAGACGGAGTTTCACCATGTTGGCTAGGCTGATCTTGAACTCCTGATCTCAAGTGATTTGCTTGCCTCAGCCTCCCAAAGTGCTTGGATTACAGGCCTGAGCCACCATGCCTGGTCAGTAGCTTTTTTTTGCTGTTTAAATATGCTGTTGCAGTTTTAATAGGGCTTGGTGATTTTATTTTTATTTTTATTTATTATTTTTTTTTGAGACAGAGTCTCACTTTTGTCGCCGAGGCTGGAATGCAATGGCGTGATCTCGGCTCACTGCAACCTCTACCTCCTGGGTTCAAGCAATTCTTCTGCCTCAGCCTTCCGCGAAAGGTTATTTTTTAAAGCAAAACAATCTGATTTATATTAATTACCAGCTAAACTTCAGACTTAAAAGACTAACTTCTTTTCATTATAAAAGCAAATTACAAATTTTCTCATGTTCTTATAAAATATGGTTCTGTTGTATGTAATGAATCTAAGTCAGTATTCACAAAGGCTATCTGAAATTCTTTTAAACTTTCAGCCCAATGTAAAGTAAAACCTCAGTTATACACAAATAATTCAAAATTAGAACTTATAATGGAAATGTCAACAAGTCAGAACTACTAGATTACTAATGAATGGTTTCACTAAACTTCCCATGAAATACAAAGATGGCAAAATTTGATAGTTTCCAGAAAATTAAAGCTATCAGAGCTATAAATGAGGAATATATTATATACTAAAATTTATCAAGGCCAAAGCATTAAGGCTTTTAAAAAGTGATTAAGATATAAAGTAAACATCTCTGGAACATATAACGTGAACAGACCACAAACCAAAACATATAAATCACTTTGTTTATAACTCTATGTTTTTAATAATGCTTTTTAAAATGAAAACATTTCTACAGTGTGGCATACAGTGATTTTTTTTTTTTTCTACCTCCTTGATTATCATGCAATCTTCAAACCCTCTTCCAGGCTGGAGTTCTTTCATCAAGATTTCTCTCTGAAGTCAACTTGTCCTATTTTCAGCAGGCTTTAGTGCTTTGGGGCCTTGCAAATTTCTTTCCTCTTCTTCCTAACCCAGGCTTCTGCCCCTATCCTCAGTATCCTGGCCTCCCAACCCCTGGTTGGAAGAAAGGGAAGGCATGCTTGAGTTTCTACATTGCCTGTACACCAGTCACACACAAGGCATGGAGAACTGGGCTCGTGCATCTGGATCCTTTCTGCCAATGCTTGGCCACTGCTTCTAACCATACTGTGCTAGTGGAGTGTCTCTTCTCTTACAACTTCTTCACTCTGCCTGTTCTCAGAGAATCCAGCCACTAGCTCCAAGGTTCTTGGGCTTGCCTAAACCTATCTGGATATTTCTATCACTTCCCCACACAGATTTCCACCCCCAAGAGGGGTAAGGTGTGGACATTAGCATCTGAACTCCTTTCTCTGATCTATCCTCTTATCTCTCCTCTCCCTAAACTGAAAATTTCCCTACACTTTCCCATTTTAACTAGAAGAGACCATTCCTACATTGTCTCCTACTTCTGTGCAAGGTGGTATTTGCCCTCTCTCTTCCCTGGGGCCATATGGTAGAAGACTGGCAGAGAAGCACAATTTATGGGAGGAATAAAAAACGCATGGTTCTGGATTTTCTAGATAATCCTTATTATGCTATGATAAACAGTACCTAATGTTGCTGATAACATTGCAGTTCAAAGCACTTTCTTGTCCGTTATCTCCTTATCATCATGTTACAACAGGATGGTTGAGTTTACAGAAAACAGACACTGAGATGACGGAAATCTGCACACAAGAAGTTTCTGGGAGGGAGTGCTCTCAGGAACAGCATCCACGAGTGAGGGAAAGAAACAAGGTGGGACTGTTATATCAAAGGGCTCAGCTCATCTCAGAGGGAGCTCTGGACTGAGATAGTTTTCTTATGTTCCCCAGCCTGCCCTTCATAGCCCTGCATTAACAGTCATTGGATGTGGGCCACTTACTGGGAAGGGACTGTGACAATGGATAAGTTGCCTTCAGCGGCAAATTCTGTAGGGGGACTAAGCTGAGAACCCTTAGCTGAAAACCCGAGGTGGCTGGAGAATGAGTGTCGTAGTTCTGAAGGGGGACATGGGGGATGCACCACAGCATCCACTGTACGTTACCAAAAGTGAAGTTGCTTCCTGCCTGTCATTGCAGTTTATGCACGGGGACCCAGGGCTCAGGGATATTAACTAATTAGATCAAACTCCCAGATCAAATATGTGATGTATGTATTTTATGTCATTTGGGCTTCCAAATAATTTGATCAGGTATAGCTTTGTAACTTTCTTTTAAAGAAGGCTACTGAGATTCAAAAAGCTAAAATGATTTCTGCAAGTATTCTAGGCCAGCCAGAGGTGATGATAAGATCCAGATCTGCCAATTGCATGTCTGTGCTTTTTGTATCTCACACACTGAGTTGATCTTGCCTAACTCGCTTGGATTAAAGAAATTTTAGGACTGGAAGAGACCTCAGAAAACAGTTCAACCCACTTACTATTCAAAGAGATAAAGTAACTTGGTAAATTGTTCAAGGCTGCTAATAACCTCTGTGCCTCAGTTTTCTTATCAGTTAAAATGGGATGAGCCGCCCACCTACAGAGGGGTATTAAGACTCAAATGAGATAATAGATGCAAGATAAACTTGAAACCTATTAAAATGGTACAGGATGGTCAGTATTTTGCCACGTAGATACTATGTTTGGAGTAAGAAAGGACTTCCAACCATTAACAGCAGCAGGGTCAGGGCTTTACACTATAGTGTCACATTTTAAGTTCTGGGGTGCTTGCATGGAAAATGTTTATGACT